AATCTTCTGGCAGAATAGCTGGAAGAGGGGGAAAGTTTCTATTGCCCTAGAATCTGCTCAGCCAGTTTTTAACTGGAAACAGGAAAGCAGCTGGCATGCTAATACTGAATGCCCTGCAATTGCAAATTGTTGTTAAATACAGATGCAGGAATGTTAAAATGCAGCTGAAGATGTACTGCTGGAGTAGGGGGAGGAGTGGACATTCAGGCTGGATTAAACATGAGTGTAAAAGGAAGCAAGATGAGAGTTCCTTGTACTGCCATAAAACCCCCCACAATGATAAAGGGCTTTACTGAAAAAATTAACTATGCACAAGTTCTACTGGAACTATCTAAAAATTCCTTTAGCACAACGTGCTGGGAATGGAGCTAAGAAGCAAGTTTATCATAGTGGTTAGAGCTGTTTGTTTGTATGTTTAATTAATTAAATGGCCACCCACTCACTAAAGAGATTCTGGGCAGCTAACAAGCAAACAATAGTCAATAATAATAACAACATCATATAAAAATAGATGCACAATCTGATATGAAACCACATCGTACTATCTCCCATAATGGACACATCTAGCAGCCTAGACCAACACCATAATCAATACACCACACTGGCTCTGCTGTAGTGCACCTCATCCACTATAGCAGATATTATCATTATGGTGAGAGCAGGGCATGCCTGTGTAACTCCTGTGCTTTGTGAGTTACACTGGCTGCTGGTTGCTTCTGGATGCAATTCAAGGTTCTGGTTGCTACCTATAAAGCCCTACATGGCATAGGGCCTGGTTACTTGAGGGACAACCTATCTCCCATGGTATCTGCCTGGCTGGTTTGATCTGGTAGCACTCCGGGTTCCATCAATTAAACAATGACATCTATTGGGACCCCAGAAGTGTGCCTTCTCTGGAGCAGCACCTACACTCTGGAATGAGGTTCCCCCGGAGATTTGAATGGCCCCTACCTTACTGGTATTTCAAAGGGCCCTGAAGATGGGGCTCTTTGCCCAGGTTTTTGGTGAGGATGACTGATGCCCCCTTTCTTCCTTCTCCTTGTTCCCATCCAGGTTTGTTTTCTTTGGCATCTCTGTTCCTTCGTTTTGGGTTGTTTTCATGTTTTTTGTATTGCTGCCTGTTTTTAAACGTTTTAACAATTTGTAACCACCCAGAGTTGCTGGGAGTTGGGCAGCATATAAATTTAATAAATTGAATGGAATGGAATCCAAGAAAAAGTCTCCTTATTTACTCAAGATGCAAGCATATTCTGTCTACAGATTATAACTATTAGAGCAAGACTTGTTTATTGCTTAAAAATAGTTTCGCACCTCCTTATTTACAACTTAGCATTCAATAATACATCTATAATTTCCCCAGACATACTTCCCATGTCTGTGCCCCTTGTTCTGGGCTGATGTCTATTCACCCCACTATGAAGGTACTATGTTGTTTCTCTCTTAACAGTTGACATGCAACCACCTCTCAGCAACGTATGCTCGAGCCAGCTAAATTACATTCTTAACCCCTCTCTGTAAGTTTTCCTCACTTCAATAACAATGGACAACAGGGCCATCAAGATCTGTAAACTCAGCATCATACCTTCACCTCTGCCCTCCCCGTCTCTCTCTAGACGTTCATTTTCAGGATGCTTCTGAATCTTGACAATTCATCTGGCAATAACTGCTAGCCATTCAGAGCACTAAATTATTTAGGCTATAACTGCCTTGCATTTTGATGCCGCTGAGAAGACTCGTTTGGCCTTGATGGCTGACCAGTGAAAGGCTGCTTGCAAGGAATAAATCTATTCAAACGGTAGCAAATTTCCATATGTCATTTTTTGGGGGGAGGGTACAACACATTCAATTCTTTAATTAAACAAACACAGGCAATTTATCATACTCTCCCACTCATAGCTGCATGTATCATAAATGCCCTAAGAATATGTGCATTGTAACAAATGCTCCTGTGCAAAATACAAAACACTGTGATAACATCAAAAGTTTGCTAGATGTTGGTTGTTCAATAATATAAGACTTGTTCTGGCATCTTCTAAAGCAGCCCACCTTATGCTTACTAGAAAAAACTTCTATGATGCAGAAATCTACATTTCTTTTCCATCAAGGCAAAGACAAATCTCTTATTTCTGTTATCTATCTCTTACATTACTGAAAGCCCTTGAGAATTCATCAACCATCCCCTGGTAAAAAAAACAGTTCAACATTACTGTCACCTCAGCAGTCCTTTCTGCATTGTTCTGCTGATCGATTTCAACATCAAACAAGGCAACCAGGAGACAACTAAATTAGTGCGTGCATACGTTTGGTGTCCCAGTTTAACTGTCAGGCTTCCCCCCCCCCCCCAAATATTCTGGAGCTACAGATGGTTGTGGGTGCTGGTAATTCTCCAGTAACATTCCATGGTAATTGGATTAGGGAAAGAGGACAGACCACAATAAATGTATGTATAGTCTCATTTGTGACTCCTTCTGCATATGGCGCGAGTCTTATGTGGGATGGAATGGCAAAAGCTGACTGAAAAAGATGAACACACTCCAACACACTCACGTTGGATGTCGATGGTGACAGAAGTCTCTTTTCCACTGGGAACAGCCTTGTTGGTAGCCCGGCAGACGATGATCTGGCCATTTTCAATGTCGGATGGAGAGACAAAAAGTGTGCTCATGATGCTTTCTCTCTTGCCATCACGGACTACCGTCTGCAGAAGAAAGCAAAGAACCAATTACTACTTTTGTGTTAGGCTGAATGTATTTTCTGCACTTCACCAACCATTCTAGCTTTGATGGGAAAGAAATTGCCTTACATCTTTTCCCTTAAAATAAAAGGAAACTTTGGTGAGATTCTCAGGGGATGACGATGGTTCATGATTCTTGAAGAAAGAATTTGTGTATAAACTCAACGCTCTGCTGCCTCTGTGACTTCCCAATGGGAGACATCATATTCTTATTTCTTGCATTAGGCAGGACAACCAGAGGAGGCTTTACAGTGAGGAAGTTTTTAATTAAATAATAAAAGCATCAGTATCTTGCACTCCCAGCAAAAAAATAGCAATCTTCAAACATCATTAAAGGACATCCTGAAGCATCCTGAGGAATACAATGGAAAAAAAGCAAAGTCTCTTTTGGAGGGGAAAAATGTTTAGGAAACGGAAAGGCAAGGTTCAACACATTATTAACCACTTTTGAAAAAGGGAGCACCATATTATCTGGAGATGCAAGTCAGGAATTTTTGACTGTATCACTCAGATCATATTAATGCCCTCCTGCCAAGGTCCTGGCTGGTTCCATCACTGATTTCAATTTCCACACCAAGTGAATTCACCCAAGCTTTTGGTTATAAAGACAGATGGTTAATTTGTATTGATGATCGCTTTATTTCTCTGATTGTACCTTATGCTAAGATGCTTTAGGATGGCTTGTACATATTTAAGTAAATAAATTGTGGAGTAATATGTTTGTGTCAGTCATTCCTGAGTTTCAAGTATCTGTTATAGTCTTGAGCTTTCAACAGATTGTAAGCCATGTTGAGATCTCTGGATGGAATGGGCACAAAGCAGTATTATCTTCCAATCCAAACTGCATAGACAAAGAAAGTTCTGGATAGCAATCTGTTGGGTATCAGAGGTTCTTAGCAAAGCAATCAGTAAATATAGAACCAAGGCAGGTAAACATTTTCATTGGGTGCCTTGGAAAATGCCAGTTCGGCCATGCTTGCCTATCTAAATTTATAATATTTATCATTTCTTTCAACAAGCTCTTTCAGCCAGCATGTTTAATTCTGTCTAGTTAGACAGGCCATGCATATTAATACAATAGAATATTTGAAAGCTGATTATCATGCTGCACTGAAGATGTTTTTGTATGCATCTCAAGAGGGCACCAGCCTCTATGGCACTCCAGTGCCAACCCTTCACATTGCTAAATACCAAAGGTTGTCCAGGTGCAGTCACTGGAGAGACCCAATTCTAAAGCGTCATCTTTTTGTAATGTTTCATGAGAAGGGTGTGAATGCAGCTTGGCTCAGAATTAATCTCCTGTCACACCTGATCTGAATCTTTTGCTTGCTTTTATGGTGGCTTTAAGAACTGAGATATCCTCTTCACTCCAAACAGGCACCTGGTGTAGGTCCATCCCCCCCCCATCCTTTTATTTAACCGTCTTAAATAGCCAGCATTTCAGAAATTATATCCTACAGGGGCAGGGGATCTAATAAATCAATCCATTCCTCAGCAAGATATGAAATTCAAGAGTGGCACTCTTTTTTTTTTTTATGATGACTCAAAAGTAGATGTTTACTGAGTTCTCTAGGCCTTTTTACAAAGTAAGTACCTAAGTCTAGTTTTCTTCTTGACAAAGTCTTCAACTAGAGACAACTCTAGAGCTTATTTTCTGCTCAAGAACCTTCTCATTCCTTTACCTGTGAAAGGTCTTGCTCCCTAATTCCTTGTACTTTCAGCAAACCATTGGGTGCTTCCCTCTTCATCTGCATCTTGCATATCTGAAAAGCTGCTAAATCTTTGCCTCCACACTCTTTTCAAGAGGGGCAGCCCTGTTTAAACTTTGGAAGAGTCCAGTGGAACTGGCTCTCAATAACCTTGTTCCTCTCCCGTCATGAAAAGCCCAGCTTTTTTTCTCCAGTAAATGAAGGTTTCTGGAGACAGCAAATCAGGAAGAATGGAAACTAGAACCTGGACAGCAGGAAGAACAACACCTTATGCCTGCCTATCATTTCAAAGAGATTTTCTCCCCAAACAGTATAAATAGCAGACACAGATGGCTTGATTCAGATTAGAATGGCTGAATATATTTTAAAGGGTTTTAACATTTTCTTTTCATTCTGATCCAATCCATATCAAGGCTTCCACTTCTGCAATTTGCTTTGGGGGGCGGGGGGCGGGCAGAAATGTCATTTTGGAAGAAATGGGAGGGTTGTTTTTCTTTAAAAGAAATGGCAGGCATGTTCTCTCTCTTCCTATCCCTTATCCTAAATTCCGATCAGGAACTCATCCCAAGGAGCTAAATCTGCCAAAAGTGGTTCACATCTTCTGCAGTAGGATTTTATTCAGCTTGGTGGAAACGCCTTTGCATTTGCTACCCACTCGTCTGAGATTTTTATTTAAGTCCTTTTATATTTAGCACTGATTCTGAAACCCTTCAAGGGCAGCTAGCTGGATTTTCAAGTACTGTACGCACAAACTCCTAGTCAAGGTCTGGATCAGGGAATCGTGAGGACAAAGAGAAGTCCTTATCACAGAACATGGCAGTGATGGGTTACCAGATGTAACTAGGGTTACCAGATGTCTGGCAAAAGGAGGACATGTCCTCCTTTCTGTCCTCATGTCCTCCATCTAGCAGGCATAGCCTTATAAAATATTGTCCGGCTTTTTGAGTATTTTGCTGTTGTTTTTTAAAATGTTGGACTGTTTTCACAACAGTAGTCATTCAAACTTCAACCTTATAAATTGTCTGTTTCTTTCTTTTCCTCGTCCATAGGCCGACTCAACAGCCTAGATTTACATTATTTACTTCCTGATTCCAGCCATTGGCTTCAATGCAGGCCCTTCAAATCCATGATCACCGTAGTCTGGAGATCACCTGACTCGTCATATGTTTCTATGGAGAAATTTGGAAAGTGCATCACCGTCAAGTCTATATTATTGCTAGCATATGTTCTCGAAAATAAAGATTTGTTGGAAAAGTATTGCGACTGAAAAACCAGTCTTTCTGATTCTGGACAAAGTAACTTCATATACATGTAGGCGTTAGTCCTTTATTTATTTTTTTTGCAGTTTTTCACTGTAAGTTTTGTCACAGATGCCAGGACAGTTAGACAGTGTGTCCTCCTTTTCTCCCCATTTGTCCTTATTTGCAATTGTCCAAGTCCTCCTTTGCCTTTCAGGTACCTGGTAACCCTAGCCTTAACCCCAATGCTGTGCATTCTGTACTGGTGCTGGCCTAACCCTCTCCTGAAACAGGAAATTAATTCCCTAATTTCCTGTAGCTAGAAGGAATCTTTCTATTTGGGTTGGTTTTTAGGACAATGGGATTCAGGCAGTGGAAGGTGGGTTGTGCTAACATCAGCTATTTAATTGGACTTTAATTAATTTTAATAGATTTTTCATAGCACCTTAAAAAACCTGCTTTCCATACTTAGAACTAATACTGAACATTCTTCTGTTATCATCATTATCTCTCTTAAGCTCTTGATAATGAAGTAACATAATGGGAACAGAGTTTTAAAAGTGGGAAATTCTGGTCAGTCCAAATCTGTTTCCCCATATGTCCTTCAGTACTGAAAATATATATATATATAGACAGACAGACAGACAGACAGACAGACAGATAGATAGATAGATAGCAAATCTTTAAAAACCCTTGCCAAACACAAACATTCAGCCAAACCTTTTAAATATGTTTGTCTGGGTGCATTTAAAAATGACCCAGCATCTAAAATCTAATGTATATATTATTTATAATATAACTTTCTTAAAAGCACAATGACTGTTTTGTTAATTTTATACTGTTTTTTCCCAATGAGAAATAAGAGATAGCAGCAGAATTCATCTTACTACTTTCTAGGCCACAGTGAAGTTTTCTTTGGCAGGCTGAGGTATTTTTAAAAGAAATACCTAAAAAGAAATCCATGGCTTTTTTTTTTTTAAGGAGGATCAGGAGTAATTCCAAATGACTGTACACATAGATCTATAGATTGTACATATAGAAAGCTCTGAAAAAGGATAGCACTGAAGAATACAGTTCTGTATCTTTGTATCACCAGATGGGCTGAATATATTGACTGGGAACCCAACCCCATTGGAAGTCATCAGCTAAGGGAAAACTAATAGTGAATATGAGTTACACCAATTTAGCAATCTAATTCTTATATTTAATAGCCTCACCCAGTCTGGAATTGGGTATGTGGGTAATAGAAAAAGATCTGTTGTATTCTACTCTTATAAAGAGCAGACTTATAAAGAGGAAAGGGCAAACCAATGTTTGTACCAGGCCCAGAAAAATCTGCAGGCAGAATTGCATATTAATGGACTAGACCAGAATTAATTCCAACCAAAATGAGGGTAGGGAGTGGTGGCTCTAATTAGTATTGGCTGGTGTCTGAAATTCCAGGAGGCAGGGTTAAGCTCCTGACTTAATTGCTCTTCTGTATCCTCATGGTATTTTGGAAAGTGAGACGATGTGTTTCTTGTGTCAATGTAGACAACACATGGAGAGAGAGGAGGAAGGGTGAGCAAAGGCTTCTAAAAGAAACATGAGAAACCAGAAGAGGGATTTGAGTGCACCAAGGTGCAAATAGCACCATCTGTGTTGGGCTTTCAGAAATCCATGACTATCTTTTCTACTCCCACTATCTTTTCTCCTGCATCTTTGGCATTCAGTCATCCCAGAGGCTCTCTCCTAAATGATTGCTTGTGGTAGGAAGAATTAAATATCTTAGGATTTGGGTGCAATAAAGCAAGAATCTTCCTGTAACATTGGAGGCAAATCAGATGCCAGAGAGAGAAAAGGTCAGACTACTTATGCAAATCAGATGCTGTGTTCAACTATAGCAATCAGAAGGCCTCAAAGATGGGGTTTGTTAATGTGGATGAAGACAAGGCAGTAGAAGCAGCCTGGCCCAAAAGATGCTCTATCTAGCCAAGGACAAAAAAGTCCAAAAGAGGGTCTATGTATTTTACATGGTAGAGAATTTTACCATGGGGGGGGGGTGCCTTCATAATCATAATTCATCTCATCTGAAAGACATCTGGTTGGAGAGGACTGATCTATTCTTATTGGTCCACACTTGCTGGATTCAGGCTTCTGGCAAAAGGTTTTCCCCTCTTCACTGAAAATGTTAGTTGGATCTGGGACCTCCCACCTGATACAGTTGCAGTGAGATTCAGGAATCACAACCAAAAAGGGTCAAGTCTAGAACTGAAGAAGATTTGATTGCCCATGATGAGATTGCCCAAGTAAAGTCCCAGCCTGGTCAGGAGATCTTCTTAGTTCTTGTTGAAGAGAGCCAGTCACCACTCTAACTGGGTGAGTGGAGCTAATCTTAACAGATGGGAGAGATTTTCCCAACAGGGGGTTCACTACAGGTGGCAATTGCACACCAAACTGGGACCAACCTCATATTCACACCATGTCTGTGCCCAGTTGATCCTTTGAATAGCAGAGAAATATTCATTTCTCTGAGGTGATTTGTTTGTTTTAGTTTTCTCACGACAAAGTGCTTCTGCTTTCGTGAATATCATAGCTGATGTTTTTTGGAACTGAGTCAAAGAAAACTACTGCATACATAGATTCTTTCTGAACAATTTATAATTTAATGGCAAAACTTCTGATTTGTATGCAAAAATTCCCAGTTCAATGGTTAGCACCTTCAACTCTTGCCTGAAACTTAGGAACTGGAAAGCTGCTGCCAGTTGAGACTGACAACATTAGGCTGAACTGGCCAAGAGTCTGGCACAGAATAAAGGCAACTTCTAATATCCCTTTCTGTACATATACAACTTCTGTTCCAGGAAATGCTTGGAGGCCCATGATGAGATTGTCCTCTATTTCATGCCTTCATAACTGCAGATATGATCTTGTGAATGAGGCTAATGGTTCCAGAAGACAGGCCTATTTCTCATACCATCAGTGAGCATAAATTGAAGAATTATTGACATGTTGATCAATTTACACTAACATGCAAAAGATCAGGAACAGAAAAAGGCAAAAATAATATTTAACTACACTCCCATGCAGAGAGCCAGTTTGGTGGAGTGGTTAAAGCACCAAACTAGAAACTGGGAGACCGTGAGTTCTAGCCCCATCTTAAGCCCAAAGCCAGCTGGGTGACCTTGGGCCAGTCACTCTCTCTTAGACCTAGGAAGAAGGCAATGGCAAACCACTTCTGAAAATCTTGCCAGAAAAACTGCAGGGATGAATCCAGGCAGTTGCCAGGAATCAACACTGACAACACTGAGCATTCTTCACCAACTCTACATATCTAAGCTCTTTCCTTCTGCCTTCTAACTTTCAATCAGCCACACCAATGATTAGCAATAACATTAATCAGGACCTTTATACTGCTATCCAAATACAAATATACAGCAAAATCATATAAATCTAGATTTCCATTCTTGTAATAATAACAATTTCAAGGCAGCTGAAGATAAAAGTGGTGCCAAAAGGCATGAAGGTGAGGCTGACATCTCTGCGATAGCGGCTTATAATCTGCAGAGGTGAGAGCTATTACTTTCCACAGCCTTTGCTCCCTGAGGTCTCCTGCTTTTTGCCTGCCTAAGAGGCACCTTGGTGGCATTTTCAGCAGCAGAGTTTTCTTTACAGTGGAAATAAAACTCTTAGAAACTAATATAAATGTAGCACTCAGGCACCAAGCACTCTTTGAGAAATTATAGCCTGGTGTCATACTCACCAAATGGTCAGCCAGGGACCAAAGGAAGGTGTACAGTCTAGCTTATGGCCTCTCCAGCTCCAGTGGGGAACGTTTGCCCTGAATAATGTTTGTTTCATCCAAAATCCTTGCTTTTACAATTCTATCCTTGCTTGCCTCCATGTTTGGGTCTTTTTCCATTTTGCAAAGTGGCCTGGCATTTGTGGAAGTAGTTGTGGGTGGAATCAAGGTTGTGGGTGTTCCTGAACACACAAAGAACCCATGTCCCC